CGTTGGCCCCCCTCTTCCCTCACCCCCAGGACCCCCTCTCCCTGCAGCAGGCAGGGCTAGACTGCCCTCTTTGCTTCAGGCTCCAGGTTTATATACCCCAAAGCCCCACCCTGCCTGGTCACATGACTCCCCAGCCATCCACAGGGGTCTCCCCTTCACCAATGGCCAGCCTGCCCTCCCCTGCTGCAGCCCCCAGCCCTCTCCCCTTAAAGGGACAGGTGCCTCTGTCATCCCGTTATACGGGGACTCAAAATGATTTACTCTTGCCCCATAAAAGAGGGTCAAATCTACCCTTTTTTTTCCATTTCCATTTTCCATGGGGGAAAAAGATAATAAATTAATTTAATTTAATGTAAATCATTTGTTTAAATATAAGAAATAAGAAAAAAATAAAATTTAAATTTAAACAACGCAAAATAACATAACAATCAAATTACATTTATATTAAAATGAACATGAAAAAAATTAAAAGCAATAAAATGAAATAAATTAGTTAATAGCTTAAATAACAAAAATGCAAAGATAATAAAATAAATAAAAATAAGCCATAACATTACAATCATTTTCTAAATAAAATAATAAAATAAACAGAGAGTCAGAGAACAGGAGGGTTGAAGGGACCTCAGGGATCACATCTAGTCTGGTCCCTGCTCCAAGCAGGCCCAGCCCCAACTACATCATCCCAGCCAGGGATTGTCTAGCCGGGTCTTAAAAACCTCTAAGGACAGAAATCCCGCAACCGCTCTGGCAGTCTGGTCCGCGGTTTCATTACCCTCCCAGAAAGAAAGTTTTTATCACCCTCCTAGTGTTGTGTTACCCTCCTAGCAACAACAGAGTAAAACAATTAAATAGAATAACAGAAATAAAAACAAAATGATAAGATAAAAATAGAATAACATAAAAATATAAAGATTTCATAAAATGAAAAAGAAAAAGGTAATAAAATAGAATAATAAAAAATCCAATGAAAAGAAACCCAATAGTCACATCCAATGCCCCCCGGCTCTCCCGGGGGGGCCCCGCTAGCAGCGCCCAGGTCTTTGGGGCCTGGGGAGATCCAGGTTTTCCTCCCTGCAGCTTGGGGGGTTCTTGGGGTTTGTCTCCTCCTCATTGGGTGCTGGGGGGGGCTCTCCTGGGGTTGGGGGGGTGGCTCTAACCGGGCAGTGATGCCTAGTGGAGCTCTAGTTCCTGGGGGGGCGGCTCTGGACACTTTCCTGGGGGTGGCTCTGGACACTTTCCCGGGGGTTGGGGGGGGTCACTGGGGGTTATGTGGTTGTTGGCGGTGAGAACAAAGCAGCTGTGTGCACGTGTCGCTCACGTGGGCTGTGCGCGCTTGCACACGTGCATGTCCCGTGGGTGGGAGCAAGCCGGGGCAGCGCGGGGCCGGGTTGTGCAGACCCCGGGAGCAAAGCCCGAGGCGCAGCTGTGATGGGCCCTGGCCCTGCCCTCCGCCCGGCACACCACCAGGGCTCCTCGGCCACGAGCCCGCCCCGCCGTTAATCCGGGCTGGGCACTGCCAGGGTGGCAGCTGTGACACGCCCTGCTGGGCCCGGGGCAGCCAGGCTGTGAGAATCGCCCCGTGCGGAGCCTGTGCGGGCACCAGGCCTTGTGTCCTCTGCAGTGCTGGGTCCGGGCTGGAGTCCTGGCAGGTTGGACCTGGGCAGGTGCCACCCCAGAGCCAGCCGCATCTCTGCTGTGCCCACCCCTGGCGCCCGCCCCAGAGCCAGCTGCATGTCTGCCTGGGCCAGGGGCTCCTGCCTCTGCAGCGGCACCAGGGGCTTGAACCCTTCCCTCCTGCCCCCTGCCTCGCCCCCCGCACTGCCGTTGTTTTCCCTTTCCATTTCAGGCTCCCAGGGCAGGGAAGGGTTTGGAGGGGGCTGCCCCGAGTGGGGGCTGCCCCGGCCAGGACCAAGGGGGTGCTGGGCACTGTACAGACCCCCCCACAATTGCAGCAGGAGGCAAGCAGAATCAGGGAGGGGACGGGCTCATTTGCGGTGGGGGGTGCATTCATGTGTGTCCCAGATAGTTTGGGGGATGGACACCTGTTTGCACATGTGCGTGTTGCAGGGCCAGGACATGGGAAAGCTTCCCCCCCGCCTAGTCCTGTGTGTGACAGGCAGGGGCCAACTCAGGGTCACGGCAGGGGCAGATCGGGGGTCCTGTCCCAGAGGCAGCACAGGGGACTCCCCCTCTCCCCCCCCGCCCCAGCTGTTTGTTTCCTACAAAGTTCAAAGGCGCGGAGGACCCAGGCAGCTGCAATGGGACCCCGGTGTCCAGGCCCCTGCTCTCACCCCCAGTGCCCCACTCCCCCCCAGAGCTGGAGAGAGTCCAGGCATCCAGGGAAACCCCCATCACTAATCCCCTCCTACCCAGTCACACCGGCTGTTCTCTCCTGGCACAGCACCCCCACCCCACGTTACCCCCACTCCACGTCCCCCTGCCCGGCCCCGGCCACTCACCAGCCACGGTCCCCGGCCGTCCATGATCCTGCCCCAGCGCCAGAGCAGCTGATTTCTGCTGACTTCCACCCCCGCCCAGAGTGCTGTTTTCAGGGCTGGACTCAGCGAAAGCGGTGTCAGGAGCTTTCACTTTCCATCCACAGTCAGAGATTACCCTGCGCCCGGCTGCACAGACCGCCCAGGGTGAGATTGGGGCTGCAGGGAGCTGTACAGACCACACAGGCCCAGATCAGGGGGTGTGGGGTACCATACAGACACCCAGGCTGAGATGTGGGGGGCACCAGGTGCTGTCCAGACCTCCCCCAAGCCAAGATCAGTGGGTGCCCAGTTCTGTACTGACCCCCCCCGGCCAAGATCCCTGGCAGGTGCTATATAGACCCCCTAGGCAAAATCAGGGGTTGCCCAGAGTTTCAGAGACCCCCGGCTGAGATCAGGGGGCACAGGATCCAGGCTGAGATCAGGGGCCACTGGGCACTGCACAGACCCCCCAGGTCAAGTAGGTCATGGCTTGCTCGAGGGAGGGGCTCACCAGCTCGTGCAAGGGGCACACTCTTGGTTGCTCATGGGCCGGCCATAGCACAGGCGCTTGGCAAAGTCCTCACAGTTGCAGAAGACACCTGCTCCTCTGTGTCCCCCCTCCCCCCCCCCCCCCGCCCCAGGGCACTGCCCCAGCACACCCACCCCTCACAGGGGGCAAAGCCCAAGGGAAGCAAGGCAGACGCACTCGGGGCCCTGATTCTGCCCCATGTTGCAGCCCCTCCACCCCGCAGCAGGCACCTGGCACTTGGGATTGCTCTCCTGCCCCCCACCCCTTTAGCCTCTCTGCCCCCGCCTGCTGTCCACCCCCTGCCCCTTGTTGTACTCCATTTTGTTAAGGGGTGGGGTGAATGATTGGTGAGACTATTCCAGTCTCAAATCCTAATTTACTGAACACACAAGCAATAGCAGTATTTAAGCACAGCTTTAAATACAACACCCAAGGTCTAAGCAAGCCCCAGCAGCCAACATAGGTATTCTCACCCAAGCCTCCTGATGGGAACGGGGAGTTCAGCCGCCCTGCATCCGTCACCGCGCTGGGCTTCAAGTAGTTTTATTCCTTTTCCTGTGTAATGTTCTCTACAACTTTCAGTTTCTTTTCCTGATTTTATGTATGCTTACACTTGTCTTCCGCGTTTCCCATATACGGTTATGTCAGAAATATTCACTAGTCACTTTTTATAGTGGTTCCTTTCTGTCGAGCTGCTGTCTGGATCCCATTGTGACGCGCAGGTAAAGCACATCTTCTTTTAACTTCCTTTCTGACATGGGCTGTAAGAGGTCGCTCTAAACTGTGACCCACTTGCTTTGCTTTGAGTTATTGGTCAAAACGGTCCCCATGCACAGGGCATGCAGGTCTCGTGGGGCAAGCAAAGGCCCTGTGACAATCGTCAGCCTCGCTGGACCAAGCTGCCTCGTTAGCGTGGAGCAGAAGGGACTGGTGGAGTGTAACGAAGCCCTGCGAGGAGCCAGGAGAGTGGCTCAGCTCCCCTAAGACCCAGTCATTCAGACCCCCTGAGGATGACCGTCGGCTGTATGAGGGCCGGCAATCCAGATGGGAGAGCCATGGAGGGGGACCGGTTCCAACACAGAGGAGGGCTGCATGCATCTCTGCTTAGTGTCAGGTTTGGCCCTCAGCCCGCTCTCCAGGAACAAGGAGACAGGGAGAGAAAAAGGGGCCCAAACCGCAAGTGCACGGACAGCATCAGGGAGAGATGGTTGTACACTGCAGCTGGGAAGAGACGGGATGAAGCCCAGGGCAGCTTCAGAGGCTGGAAGCCAGAGGCCTGGGCTGGAGAAGTTGGCTGGTGGGGAGACAGGCAGCTGGCCCTGCAGGGGCAAAGCGTGATTCCCTCGGCATCCGTCAACTCCTTGGCAGCCCCAGACGTCTCGTTAGGGGCAAACACAGCCCTGGGGGGGAAGAAAGGGGGCCCGTGTCGGCCTCTCTGTTAGCAGCAGCCCCACAGAGGCAGAGCAAGACCTGCTGTCAGGGCAAGGAGAGCTCATGAGGACAGTCACGATGGTCCCACAGATGGCAAAGCAGGGTCCCTGAGGGGGCAGAGGTCAGCCTCATGAGGGGCAGGAGGAGGGCTCCAGGGGGCAACTGTGGGCCCTGCTGGAGGCAAAAGGGGCCCCGTGAGGGGCAATAGAGGAGAGCAGGTACCCCACCCCTCTGCTGGAGATGACCTTGGAGAGGGAGCAAGATGGACATATGGATGACTGCTATCCCTGCCGTTTTCCCCATCGCCCACCCAGGCTCCGGGCCCCCCAAGACACCTTGGGCCACACCAGGATGGATGAAGGGGTCCCTAGGCCACAGCCACCCCAGCTGAGCCCTGACCCCACCCAGCAGGAGGGAGGGGGCTCCGGCTGCAACATCCCTCCAGGGTCTTCTCTCTGCTTCTCCCTCCCGCACTTCTCCAGATGGATCCAGCCCCCCCGTGTGTCAGCACCAAGGCTCGGCTGGAGAAGTTTGTTCTTGGGAGTTTCTGTGTTTTCAAACAATGGGG